CATTTTCAATGTTGGTCTGGTGGTGGCAAATTCCCAGAACTTCTGTTGGCTTGTTGTTGTTAAGTGCTGTCGAGTCAATTCTAACTCATAGTGACCCTGAATAGGGTTTCTGGTGAATTTGAACAGCCAACCTTGTGGTTCAGTGCATCTTTTATTTCTCCGTCTCTGTTTCTGAATGACAACTTTTCTAGGTAAAGAATTCTTGGTTGGCAGTTGGTTACTTTCAGCATTTTATACATGCTGTACCATTGTCTTCGGCACTCCAGAGTTCAACTAACAATGGTAAAATCTATTTTTGGTTGAAGTTGGGCCACTTTGTTATCTTTGCTTTTCTACTTTGAATTTTGTATTCTGGTTTTTGTGGGAAATTTTACTGGATGCTCTGGTGATGTTGTGCCAATCGCCCAGCTGCCAACCAAAAGCACACCCACCAACCACTCTGATGGACAAAGATGCAGCAGTCCATCTTCACAAAGACTCACCGCTCCACTCAGCCCCACAGGGTCACAATGAATCAGAAAGGATCCAGCCATCTGCAGGCTTGCTATCTTTCCTGAATAACCACTAGAAGAGGCTCATTCTAGGGGGAGGCGGGGGGGGGGGGGGTTCAGTGCTGATTCAGGAGTTCTGAATGCTTGATCTCTGGAATTCCATATGCACGTGCAGAAAAGCAGTGTAGTTATTGACAGATGATGACATCGCAATGGGGACTGACTTTCCTATTCTGTCCCATCAGTCTGAAGTATTCCCCTTACATGCTGCTGGTGCTGTTCTACTGGTCCTAGTGCCCATCTACCTTTGGCCTCAGCAAGATTCAACAGTGCCACCCCCTCCATTGTACACTGTGGGAATGCCCACAGTCAATCTGCAACACCTTAAAAACAAATCGGACTAGAACTTCTTCAGATTAGCTTCCCTTTAGCGGTGTACCCAGCCCTGCCTACAGATGGAAGCGGGTATGTTCTCCCAGCTTCTTTCTGTGTGGTCCCTGCTCTTCCTCTCTCCCACTTCTGGACTTAGTTTGATTCGCCAACACTTCAGCTACCATCTCCAGTTCTGTGAACTCAGTCTGTTCCTGTTTTTATTCACTGCCCCCTGGGTTAGCTGCTAGCGAAGTAAATGAGAGCCTCCGCTCATTTTGCTCCACCTCCCTGGTCCTTTTTTCTAAGTAACTTCTGGGACCTTAGTCACATAGCGTTTCTAAGCCCTGACTGTTGTTGTTGGTGTTAAGTGCTGTTGAGTCGGTTCCAACTCACAGTGACCTTGTTATATAGGGTTTTGGAGATTTTTTAAATCTTCAAGGGAACGGAAAGGCTCATCTCATCTGTCTTCTGCAGAGTGGCTGACAGGCTGGAATCATGGACCTTATGGTTTGTAGTCCAGTGCTTACAGTATGGAGCCACTACACTGCAAGCCTCCACTAGCTCAACTGAAATGATCAATTCTGTTATTATTACTATTGCTACTGTCACTGCATTAGACTCATCGGGGGACACAGTCATCAGTTGCTGATTTTACTTTTATATCACACTGTCATTCGCTTCCACTGCCCCATAGAAACTATTTTGTTTTACATATTCTTTAAAAATGTACACTTGTTGTTTGGCTAGATAGATGTATTTTAAATCCTCTTAATGCGTATGTGAAATATCATACATCATTTCTTTCTTTGCTAAGCAAAAGTTCTATTTGTTTTTAAATTTTGGTTTGCATGAACTTTAGACAAAATTAGTTTTCCATTCAATAATTTACACAAATTTTGTTTCTTAACATTAGTTGTAATTTCCTCAGGGTTACAAAAACTCTTCTTGCTTCCTCCTGGCTTCCCCATTCCCATGCACCCTTCTTTCCTGTTCCTTCCTACCTTTTGAGTTTTGTTTTTAGGAAAATGCAACACTTTTAGTCTCATGTTTTTGCCTATTCTGAGGAATACATTCCTTACTAGTGTTACTTTCACTTGGTAGGCCTATCTGTTGTTTGGCTACAGGCTGATCCTAGAGGTTGGTTCAGTTCCAAGTTTGAAGCATCTAAAGATGCCACAGTTTCAGGGGTGCTACCAGTTTTTTTCTATGAGACGAGTAAATTGGGTCTTTTGTATGATTTTAAATTTGGTTGTGTATTTTCCTTTCACTCTGTCCAGGACCTTCTGTGGTCTTGATCAGATCGATCAATAGTGGTAGCTGGGCACCATCTACTTCTTCGGGTCTCAAGGTGGAGGAGATTATGGCTTCTGTGGTCTGCTAATCCTTTGGTGCAATCGTGCTGCTGTAGAATAAGCACTGGACTGCTAACCGCTAGGCAGTCAAACTCACCAGACACTCCTATGAAACCCTATACAGGGTCGCTATGAGTCAGAATGTTTTGACAACACTTAACAACAAACAATAGCTAATGATTGTGAGCATTTCTTCATGTATTTGTTAGTCACCTGAATATCTTCTTTGGTGACACCCTCTGTTCATGTCTTCTCCCTATTTTTACATTGGATTGTCTTTTTGTTGTCAAGATACTGGCATTTTCTATAATGTCCAACAGATATATCAATGCCAAATTTTCTTTTTCCCAGTTTGTAGATACTCTTTCTACTCATTTGAAAAAAGTGTTTACTTTTTCAGAGGTCCCTGTCACTTGGTTTACCGTCTGCTGTTTGTGCAGTTTGGGTTTTGATAGACTACTTGTACCATAAATTAGGCCCCTTAAGTTTGTCCTTAGTTTTGTTTTGATGATCTTATTATTCATAATAGCCTCAGGCCAAAATAGGACCAAAGAGCATCCTAGCTGAGCCAGAATAATTCTAAAGAAGTCTACTACAGCCAAAGCTAAAGAAGTCACTTTTCAAACTGAAACTGAACCAAACAGGAGCTCCTGAGACAGTATAACCCTAAGTATCCACACCTGAGCTAGCAGTTTCCACTGCTAAGGCTAAGAGGACAGTCTCTGAACTCCCATCATACACGCTCATACAACTGCTGACAAGCTCGAACACATGAGATTACAGTTTTTTAATGATATTCCACCTCAATGTTATAAGGAGTCATGTCGATGTCAAACCCGCTCCCAAGGTGAACGCTTCACAGCAAGGGGGAGGCAGAGCCACTTTTATTTCTTTGTCTTTTCAGAGATTCTGACAACATGGTGAGAACAGTATGTCTTTCTACTAGTGTAAATACTTTATGAATGCCTTTTTGTTAACCTTTCCATCAGAGTGAATTACTCTCCAGAGCAACTGTCTGCTCCACTGTAGCTGGTGGCCATTTGAGCTCCCAAATAATTCTATAATTGGATTTGCCAGAGAAAATGTAAAACAGAATGAATCTAATTCTGGCAATGCCAAGAGTGAATGTGAAGGGCCCAGGCGTGTTATTTCTTTCCTGTGTTGGATACAACTAATAACTCAGATTAATCAATTTCCCTAAGGGTAAGAGTGGGAGAGTGTAGGATGAGGATAGGGTGTGTAAAGAGAGGGAAAAGAAGGAGCTATGGAACCATTCTGTTTGCCTTGTCAATTGCAGCATGCATACTACTCTGGAAAGATGTCCTCCTAAGCTAGAAAGAATAAGATGACGACTAGGGGCCGAAAGACTCCAGTGTTATCCCTTAGGGAAGGAAGTTCTTTCACATTCTGAGAACTCAGTTGTCACAGCTCTAAAAATGGGAACAATATGAGTATTCCTGCCCATGAATGAGTTTATAATGTTAAACATGTGCTCTGGTAGCGTAGTGGTTACGAATCGGGCTGCTAATCGCATGGTCAGCAGTTCGAAACTACCAGCTGTTCCACGGGAGAAACATTAGGCTTTCTGCTCCCGTAAAGATTTACAGCCTTGGAAATCCTGGACACGGCACATAACAACAACAACAACAAATAAAAATATAGACAGTCAAAGAAAACTGGTAACGAAAGTTACTTATTGGGTGAGACATTGAGCTGTGCCCTATGCTTAACACTGCCTCATTTCATCTCACAATAATCCCACTCAGTAGGATAATTAAGACCCAGAAAGGTGGGGTGACTTGCCCAAAGTCACAAAGCTAATAAATGAAACAGCTGGGATCTGCTCTCAAACAAACTCAGGCTTTTCTCAGTGCACCAAGTTGCTCTCAAGTCATTGTGCAGTCAAAAATGGAATGGAATAGCAGATTCAGCATATGCTACCTTTTGGGTAAGGAAGGAGGTGAATAACAATACACATTCATAGCTGCATAAATAACCACTGTAAGGATACACAAGAAAATGAACAAAAGTGAGAGGAGGAAAAGGAGAACAGGGTTACTAGGTATAGGATGGAAGATGACTTCTTAATTGTACTTTTTGAATCATATGAATGTTTTACCTATGGGAGGGGGGAAGTTAGTTCTTTTTTAAACTTCTTCATGGAAAATACCCCATTCAGAGCTAACCATGCTTATAAAGGAAACTCAGTGACTTTAGATTGTAAGGGATGTTAAATGAACCTCTATAACCCATCATTGACAAAAAGGCAAAATACAGCTTTGTTTTATCTTAAAATACCTATTTCTCTGCAACTTCCATAGTCAAATGAGGATTGACAACCAAAATTCAGGATGCCAAAGACTAGCAGACTTCTTCAGTGACTGAGAAATTAACATTTATCAACTACCTTCTTTGTACCAGGAGCCGTGAGGCACGCTACATAAGTTAGTTAACTGAATTCTCAACATGATCTGATGCAATGAGAATTATTAACCCTGTTTTACAGAAACGTTACTATAAGTGATAAATGCATTGTTGTTGTGGTTAAGTGCCATTGAATCAGTTCTGACTCATACTGACCCTGTAGTATGGGGTTTCCAAGGAACGGCTGAGTTTGACAAAGGCATAGAAGATGTCAATGACAAAGCCAGGATTTGAACAGCAGTCTCCCTGGCCACATGTCCCAGGATGTTCTTCCTAATACCCAGACTGTTTTTCCAGGCAAATGTTTCCCAACCAAAGTCCTCTCAAGCTTGCAGCTCCCTGTGGGAAGGGCCTTCCTTACCTTGATCAAATTCAGACCCCTGCCGTTCCAGCTGTTTCCGCAGTTTCTCATTTGTTTTAATAGATTCTTCTAAACGTTTTCTCAAAGTTCGAATTTCTTGTATATGTTCCATTAGTAAGTCTGTAAGAAGGAAGGACATTCGTAATTTAAAGTCTGAAGCCCCCAACAAATTGAATAATTCATAGATTATGCAGTGAGCTTAAAATTCCATTCAGTATTGCCATGTACTAAGAGAGTTAGCAACTGGCAATTCTTTCCTGAGCGTGGGGATGCTGAGCAATTCCCTCAGTCCACAGCCACAGTTTTGTAATGATTCTCTACAGTTCTCCACAAGGAAGATACTTTACATCACATGGAAAAATTATATTCAATGCAATTTTAATGTTAACTATAATGTAGCCTTTTATTCTTCTAAATATCAAATATTCATTCAAAATCTCCCTTATGGTGAAACTAACAGATCACTTTCAAGTCTGCGTGAATTGCCTGAAAGTTGATTAAACCATGCTCATGAAGTCGCATATTTTCAACACTAATTCTCTGAAAAGAATATGGTAGGCATTTATCACTTACTAATCTAAAACTTAAAAACAATAAAACAATAATCCCAATGCTAGTGAGACTGGCAGAAAGAGTACTCTCAAGAGCCCACCCTATTAGTGCGAGTATAAATGGGTGTGACCTTCGGGACTATTTTTATCATGAACTTTCTTTCTTAGTGCCTTTTACCAAATAATTCTACTTCTAAGAATCTATATAAAAAGATCACCAGTCATGCTGACAACCTGAATGCATGAAAATGTTACAGTAGCATTACATATTACAGTAAAAATGGAAACTAACACAAATTGGTAAGTACATTGTATTAACATCCATTATGATGCAGGACTACCCAGCTATTCAAATTGTGGTATGAAGAACATATAATGCTATGAAAACACTTTTATTTTATTATGTTAAACTTTAAAATAGATACAAAACTGGTTATTCAGCATAATCACAACTCTATTTAAAAATTTGCACAGACAAAAGACACACACACACACACACACACACACACACACGAAGGAAACAGACGAAAAGATTAACAACAATTGCCTTTGGATGGAAGAGTTTTAGATTTTGAAAAAAGACTATACTGCATTTTAATTTTTTTAAATGAGCATGTATTCTTTTTCCAGCCCCCACCACATTGCTTTCTAACAATGAAAAAAGGAAGCACATTTCCAATGTAGAGGTAGGTTTCTAGAGTCAATGTTTAAAGCATAATCACATTAAGTATCCAAAGACAAAATTAATGTCCTTAATTCATCAATTAGGGTACACTCAGTATGTCTTAGTAATGTTTGTTTTAAAACATTATACTAATGTTATGACCTAGTTTTAATTCCTCCAAAATGACTTTCATTTAAAAGTAGTACAATGTTACAGATCTTTTCCTAATTAAATAGTAATTTTGCCATGAATTTGAATGTTTATGAGATGACTTAATTTCGAAATCTTCAGTTATCTCCTATTAATGCCAGAAGTGCGGCAAGTCATTTGGTGGGATGTCTGAGGGTCTCATTGCAGCACAGCACTGAAAGGCTCGGTCTGTCTGCAGTAAGCCCACGGTACACCCCCCTCCTCCCCCGGCACTATTCCTCCCTGTTCCTGCCCGCTGCCCTGCCAATCTTCTTCCAGTGAATATTCAAGTCAATATGAGTCAGGAACTTATCTGTTTTCAGTGCAATCTTCCTTGCTGGTCTTTCCAAGACACACACGGCTAGCTTTGGGAGTGATAAATACTCAGTAGCTATTGATACAAATCATCTTCCACTGAATCTCTAGCCAGGAACTGGAATTATCACTTGGGCGTCAGGAAACGATCCCAGTTGAATTGGACACCACTTATTAATTATGCAGCCATAACCAAGAAGAAGGAAATACTAGCCTAGCCTTTACAAAACAGGAGGAAAACGCCTGTCCTTCTTAGAGCAATACCCTTCTGACAAATGCTAACTCTTCCAAACCAGAATCCTGCTGGAAACAACCACCCAAAGAGCTGCCTAGGAGCTCCAATCTATAGAAACTCCCTTCAAATAAGGAGAAAGCTTCATGTTCAAAGATATGTCCTATAGTATTGGTTACAATTGTGAAATTTTGGAAATAAATGTTCAGCAATAGGGGAAAATTACAGTTCAGCCATTCAATGGGCTATTCTAAAGTCATTAAAAATGATGGTACATACCAACATGTCACAAAGCTTATGATACATAATGTTATGTGAAAACAGGAAAAATGCTAATAAATCAAGACTTCTCTCTACTCAGACTATAATTATGATAAAAGTAAAATGCATACACTAAAGGACTAAAGATAAACAAACCAAAAACCTTACACAGGCATATTAGGATGTTTCCAGAATTGTATTTCAGGAGAGCACTGTCCTACTTTAAGAAAGTCCCTTGGTAATTCACTAAAAGGGCATGATGAGTGTGAAGTCCTGGGTCTCCACAGTTGTAAGAAGTAAGAGATAACTGAAAAGTTCTATCACAGAAATAAACATGGGTTACAGTAAAAGAAGGAAGCAGAGCAGAAAGAAGAAGGGCAGAGAAGAGAAAGAAAAGGGAATTGCTCAGTGCCACAGAGGGAGACCTCCACTAGTCTGTCAGTTTGTCATACTGTAGCAGCTCGTGTGTTGCTGTGATGTGGAAACTATGTCAATGTTATTTTAAATATCAGGAGGGTCACTTTTCTGAATTTCTAAGTAGCTAAATGGGGAAGCCCAGACAGTAGCTCTGTAAAGTAAGCATTGGACTGCAAGCCAAAAAGTGTGGTTCAAGCCCACCAACTGCTCTGTGGGAGAAGGGTGAGGTTTTCTGCTCCCATAAAGATCAACAGCCTCAGAAACCCTATACAGGGCTGCTATGAGTCAGAACCGACTTCACAGCACTTACCAACAACAGGGTGACCCATGATGGACAGGTTTCAGTGGTGCTTCCAGACTAACAGCAGGAAGGAGAGGTGGGCCACCTCTGAAAGGTTAGTCACTGAAAACCTTATGAATAGCAAAGGAAGACTGCCCGATACAGTGCTGGAGATGAAACCCTCAGGATGGAAGGTATCTCAAGAGCAGATTTAATGTATTGGACACCAATGACCAAGTCCAGGTGACTTGTGGAATGACCATAAGAATATTATATATGAAGAATGCAAAAGGTCACTACAGACAGAAAAGACCAAAATGGATGCCAGAAGAAACAAACTTGTTCTTAAATGGAGAGAAGCTAAAGCAACAAGAAGAAATGAAATTAAAGGGCTAAATAGAACATTTGAAAAGGCAGCTTAAGAAGACTGAGTAAAGTACTACAGTGAAATGTGCAAAAACCTGGAGTCAGAAAACCAAAACGGAAGAGCATGCTCACTCAGCATTTCTCAAGCTGAAAGAATTAAAGAAATCTTTTAGCCTCCAGCTGCAATACTGAAGAATTCTATGGGGAAAATACTGAATGATGCAAGAAGCATCAAGAGAAGATGGAAGGAATACACAGAGTCACTGTACCAAAAAGAACTGGCCAATGCTCAACCATTTCAAGAGGTAGCATATGATGAAGAACAAATGGTACTTGAGGAAAAAAGTCCAAGCTCCACTGAAGGTATTGGTGTAAAACAGAAAAACCAAAGGCAAGGCTCCAGGAATTACAGAATACAAATGGAAATGTTTCAACAAACTGATGCAGCAACACTGGAGGTGCACACTCATCTATGTCAAGAGATCTGGAAGACAGCTACCCAGCCAATCAACCATCAGAGATCCATATTGGTGCCCATTCCAAAAAAAGGTGACTCATCAGACATCATTAATATCACATGTGAGTAAAATGTTGTCGAAGATAATTCAAAAGTGGTTGCAGCAGCACGTTGACAGGAAGCTGCCAGAAATTTAAGCTGGATTTAAAAGAGGCCAGAACAAGGGACCGCACTGCTGTCAGATGGATCTTGACTGCAAGCAGAGAAAATCAGAAAGATATTTACTTGCACTTTATTGACTATGCAAAGGCATTCAACCGTGTGAATCATAACAAACTATGGAAAATATTGTGCAGAATAGGAATTCAAGAACACTTACTTGTTCATGAGGAACTGATACATAGACCAAGAGGCAGTTGTTAGAACAGAACAACAGAATACTGAATGGTAAAATCAGGAAAGGTGTGCACCAGGGTTGTATCCTTTCACCAAATGTATGTAATCTGTATACTGAGCAAACAATCTGAGAAACTGGATTATACACAGAATGTAGCATCAGGGTTGGAGGAAGATTCAGTAATAACCTGCAATAGGCAGATGACACGACCTTGTGAAGATCAAAGTCCACTGGCCTTCAATATGGGTTGCACCTCAATGTAAATAAAATGAAAATCCTTACAATTGGATCAATAAATAACAACACAATAAATGGAGAAAAGATTGAAACTGTCCAAGAATTCACTGGATCCTCAATCAACACTCATGGAACAGCAGTCAGGCAAGAAATCAAAGGACCTACTACAGTAGACAAATCTGCCGCAAAAGACCTCTTTAAAGAGCTCAGGAGCAAAGGTGGCACTTTGAGGACTAAGGTATGCCTAGCCCAATGATCTCATGTGCATGTGAAAGCTGGACAATGAATAAGGAAGCTCAGAGAATTGTTGTTGTTAAGTACCATGGAGTTGGTTCCGACTCATAATGACCCTGCACGGGGGTTTCCGAGGCTGTAAATCTTTACGAGAGCAGAAAGCCTCATCTTTTTCCCATGGAATGGCAGGTAGTTTCGAACTGCTGACCTTGCGGTTAGCAACCCGATTCACAACCACTACGCTACCAGAAAAGACTAGACGTATTTAAATTATGGTGTGGGTGAAAAACACTGAAACTACCATTGACTGCCAGAAGAACAAATAAATTTGTCTTGGAAAAGAACAGTAAGAATGCTCCTTAGAATCAAGGCTGGCGAGACTTGGTTTCTTGTACTTTGGACATGTTGTCAGGAAGGAACAGTGCTTGGAGAAAGACACCATGCTTGGTAAGATGGAACGTCAACAAGAAGAGGAAGACCGCAGATGAGATGAACTGACACAGTAGTAACAAGAAGGGACTCAAACTCAACAACAGCAAGGATGATGCAGTACCAGGCAATGTTTCACTCTTTGTACATAGTTAACTTTAGTCAGAACCGACTCCTAACAATTGAATGGCACCTAATCAACATCATAGGAGGGTTTGAAACATTCCAACCAAACCAAACCCAGTACCATGACGTTGATCCTGATTCACAGAGGAGAACTGCCCCACAGGGTTTCCAAAGCTTTACCACAGGGGAATGCCACATCTTTCTCCTGCAGAGTGGACGGTGGGTTAAACCTTTTGGTTAGCAGCCGAGTGCTTTAATCACTTCACCACCAGACCTTCTTTTGAAAGACTTGTTGTTAAGTGCTGTTAAGCCGGTTTCAATTAACAGCAATCCTGTGCAGGGTTTCCAAGGAGCAGCTGGTGAGTTTGAACTACTGGCTTTGCAGTTCAAACTGACCAGGTGATCTAGTGCTTACCCTACAGCACCACTCTAAATTATTTGTGTTGCTGCATTGTACCTGTACTTCCAGTTCCCCAAGCCCTTGGTTAAGTCTTTTACGAAGACTTTGTGGAAGTGGTCTATATGGGAATTTTTAGCAACAGGCTAAGTTTCATGTTGGATTTATACAGTAAAGGACAATGATAGCACTAGGGACCGACTGTACAGGAGCCCAGGATATCACAAAGTCAGCAGTTTGAATCCATCAGCTGTTCCATGGGAGAAAGATGAGGCAATTTGCTCCCATAAAGATTTATGACCTTGGAAACGCTAACACAAAGTTGCTATGAGTCAGAACCAAATCAACAGCACACAGCCACCATCACCATCCCCAAGAACAGAGAAATAATTCATGGTATGACCTAAAATAGAGGAAAGTAGACTATAGACCTAGAAGTATTCAAAAACTCACTAAAATTATATAGGGAGGGACACTGCTGGAAACCCTAAGAAATCAGGTCCAGGAGACTGGCTGTTGAAAAGACCTCAGATAATGTCCAAGTTATGGCAAAAATGTGCTCTTCATGCACTAGGCATGTTTTCAAACTGTGAGCCTCTCCTGAAGTGCCCCAGAGGAGCTTCAGAGACCACCACCGGAGACAAACATCCTACTCATAGCTCTTATCCATACTGGAGCCCCATGTAAAATTTCTTCAAAAAAAAAAAAAGGTGTAGGGGGTGCTCTGTTGCTCAAATTTGAAAGCCACCGATTTATCTGATCAGATGACAGCAAAGAGCTTTAAGCAAGAAGGTGCCAGGGTATTGTTTCTTTACAAAAAAATTTACTCTTATTAAAAAAAAAAAAAAACTACTCTTGCAAATAATCCACTGGAAGGAGGGAGACTAAAGACTATCAATTGAGGTCTGACGCGTACAAAGGTTGAAAAACTACAACTGTGGGCCAAATCCAGTCTACTTTTTTTGTAAATAGTTATTAATCAGAACTCAGCAGCATTCATTCATTTTGTGTATGGCTACTTTCAGGCAGAAGAAAGAAACGTTGCATAAGAGTTGTAAAAGAAACCATATAGCCCACAAAGCCTAAAATATTGACTACCTGAGCCTTTATAGGAAAAGCTTGCTGATCCCTGTTCACACAATCTCTTTCACCTGTGGAATATACCGAATTACAAATCAACAACAATTACCCCAAGCCACCATTCATCTGTCCGTTTTTCACACTGGTGACTTGTGTGCTCCTGTGATGCTGGAAGCCACCAGTATTTTAAATGCCACCAGTGTACCCATGGTGGACAGATTTCAGCAGAGCTACCATTCTAAGACAAACTAGGAAAAAGGAGAGGCAGATTATTTCTGAATGGCTACTCTGAATTCAGAGTACGGACTCTAGGGGAAAGCTTTCTTTTTTTTGGATTGGTATTTTCAGTCACCTCAGATGCATGTGAAAGTTGGACAGTGAATATGGAAGACCACAGAAGAACTGAAGCATTTGAGTTATGGTGTTGGAGAAGATGTTGAAACTACCAAGGAAGTGCCAGAAGAACAAGCAAATCTGTCTTGGAAGAAGCACAGCCAGAAGCCAGCATAGCAAGATTCCCATCACTCATACTTCAGACACGTTATCAGGAGGGACCAGTCATTGGAGAAGAACATCTTTGCTTGGTAAAGTCAAGGGTCAGTGAAAAAGAGGAAGAACCCAACAAGATCGACTGGCACAGTGGCAGCAGCAATAGGCTCAAATGTGACAATTGTAAGATGTCACAGGATTGGGCAGTGCTTCGTCCTATTGTGCAAAGGGTTGTAATGAGTAGGAACCAACTCGATGGCACTGAACTACAACATTACTCCAAGAGAAGGTAATCAAGACTATAATACAGAAAAGGTAAACACGGGGCCCAGGGGCAGGAGGAGTCTTGGAAACCTGGTTCTGACAACTGAATCCATTGCCTCTATGGTCAAAGGCAGGACAAAGCGTGGATCCACTGGGCCAAGGGTATGTAAAAAGAAACAGGGCAGATTTACAGAACCACAAAATATCAGAACAGGGTATTAGATACTTGTGTGTGTGTGTGCAAACTTTTGTGGTTTAGGGGAAAGTTTAAGAGTCAATGACTTTTCTGTTCCACAATTTATAGCATTTTGTTTTGTGACGTTGGTTGTAATCCCCAGAACGTAACAGCACTCTCCCCACTTCCACCCTATGATCTCCATTTCCTTCTTTCTTCTTTCGTGCCCATTTTCTGCCTTCTGAGCTTTGTTTTGGTGCAAGTGCTACCCTTTTGGTCTCATGCAGTTGATGGTTCTGAGGAGTACATTCCTCTCTATGTTACGGTTCACTTTACAGGCCTGTCTCTATTGGTTGGCTGAAAGTTGGCAGTTAAATACTCTTACCCATCGATATGGCTTAAAAGCAGCAGAGAAGTCTTCAGAGTGACCCTGCCTTAGGGTGAATTGGGAAAAAAAAACAAGTAGGAAATTAACCAGACTTGGACCTGATATATAACTTAACGTGCTTTGCAGCCTGCCACTGTTAGAAGAGCAAGTAAATGGCAAGTCGTATATTAAGTCGTGATTTAAAATATAAAATTGCTTTTTCTCTAATCACCTACGCTTTCTACAAGCACAGTTTTCTCCATGGATAAATGATATCGTGAATGGCCAGCTGCTACTTTTACCGGCTCTCCTTTCATCAAAGAAACACTCAAATGTCACCACGCTCTGGCTACAAAGGCAAGATAATGAATTTTTAAGAAATATTTGCAAGGGTTAAAACAGCTCTTTTCACATTAGCTTTCAGTGAACTCTATGAGCATTCCAGTCAAAAAAAAAAAAAAAAAAGCTTGTCACTACTGGTTCATTTACATTACTTGAAAGGGGGGGAGGAACTGGAACACATTTTAAATGTTTAGTAAGGCTTAACTTACCTTGAGAAAAATTGTTAGTTATAACCGAACTCTTCTCAATCTCGCTATCTTGTTTCTGGTCTCGTGAGAAGAAGGACTTTTCGGACATTTCACAATCAGACAGTGCATGAGAAGCTGAAGGCTCAGGAGACTCAGGCAGAATATGTTGGTAGGTTATGGTGTCTTCCCCAATCCTTAATTAGAGATTAAAGAGGAATGATTTCCCATGTTCAATCCCAAACCAGGACCATGTTTTAAAATGCACATCACTGCTGTGTCCTTTAGAATTTCTTCGTATTTGTGATGTTTCTCTAGTAGTTAGTAAGGATGTTCTAATAAGGGCCCTGTGGACTTCAGTTAGGAGCCAGTGAAGACGGGGAGTGAGGAGACTGTGTCCATTTCACAGTCTGCTTTTTAGGGGAATGGTCACAAAAGAGGTCATGGGTCAATGACAGCTGTTTGCCCTGTCTGTGCCTGCTTGGTGCCAGGCATTTCAGATGTATTAGCTTGTCTTCGCAGCCAGCCTTCAAGGCAGAGATTTTCAACTTTGTTTAGAGTTGGAAAGACAGAGGCTTATCATAAACTCACCCACTGCTTGTAAGTAGCATAGGAGAGATGTGAACCCCAAGTCTGTCAGGCTCCCCGGCCCCAAAAGAATGTAAAAAGCCCAACCCAAACCCATGAAATGGTCACATGGTCTCCAATTATGTTACAATACCATTATTCTGGCAATTGTCAGGTTCTTAACCTGTAATTTCTCACAGGCCACCTAAGCCATGAAGGAATATAACCTAAATCCTGGGAAAAGCCCACGTAGATCTCCATTATAGATAAGCTTCTTAATTTGAGCTCTTTTTCTCTCCCACGTTTTGCTATTACTTCTTGTCAGTGGCCACAGTCTCATTATTCATGAGCTCAGACAAGAGCAAAGGACTCTGAAACTGCAATGCATTCATTAACAGGTAAACACCAGATGCAACTTCGTCTGGACAGCGTGATGGATGCGCAGGCTTGCTGTTGGCTTACAAAAGTGCAGAATGGGCCAAGGGTACCTATTTAATTAGCTTGGCTATGACCCACGTGAGTGCAAGCCTACAGCTGAAAATGGTAGAACAGAAGGAAAATAAACAAATCTGTCAGAAATGGAAGAGGGAGGCACACAGGTTGAGGAGGGCTAAAAGAGGCTCTGCCTCCTCCAACCCATTCTCCACAGCAACCCAGGTAGTCGATCACAATGGCTAATTGGATCATGTACCACCAGCTTAACCACCTCCAAAGATTCTCCTTTTCCAATAGAATAGAGTTTGAGTTCCTATCTTAATATTTAAGGATCATCCCAATGTTGTCCCACATGTCTCTCTAGCTAAGACCCTCAAATTTTAAACACCAGCCATACTGACAAAGTGTTCTGGCCCCCAAAGGGGCCACGACTCCCTTACCTCAACCATGGGCACTCTCCAACAACCCTTGCCCCTCTGACTCATCCTTTAGATCTCAGCTAAGACTGCTCCTCAACTGGGACGCTTTCCTTGCCTTCTACAGCCTGCCAATAGGATGTGAGCTGTTTCGATGGGGCTGAAAGCAGAGGCCTGAACTGGAAAGGAACTGTACAATCACTGCACTGAGAGAGAGGTACGTCTTCTACACTTAGAGAAGCCCTGATTGAATGGTCCTCCAAGGAGCTCAATTTCTGATACTCCCTTGCCTACTCACTCTAAGAATGTTGGTGGCTTTCATGATATCAATATATTCTAAAATTCATACCCTAGACTGGGTCTACTTCTTCATATTTTCCCTGGGAGCCCAAATGGTACCGCTTCTAAGTGAGAGAAAGCACCCAATAGAACTAATAGCATTCAGAACCCTTGGCAGGAAACAGAAGAGGGCCCGACCTTGACATTTTCAGCTGCACATAGAAGCAACTGAGAACGCATACTATCTGTTTATTCCATGAACGTTTTCTGAACTCCACTACAAACCAGACACTTGGTGGTGGAGTCCGTATGGAGATCTTCAAGACCCGGTCTTTGCACACAAAATGCAATTTGGAATAACGATCAGAGACTACAGTTGTGAAAGGCTGGCAGAATCAAGTACAAAGCCCAGCTCTAGCCCCTTCATAGCAAGTATGCAATTCTCTGACCCACAGGCTCATCTTAAAATGGGAATAGTAATGCTCACCTCGTGGGCTGGAAATAATGTCTTTGACTACCTAGAACAGTGGCTGACACACAGCTGTACTGAGTTCAGGCTAGCTCCTGTTTTCTCCCTTGAAGAATTCTGGGAGTGGAAGACACTGTAATGGTGGTCAGTGCTGCAATGTAACTACTTGCCAAGTGTTACAGCAAGAAAAACTGATCCTTGGTGTGGTGGAGAGAGAGGGGTGTTGGAAAAAGCAAGTTCATTTCCATATAAACTGGTTCTGGAGAAGAATTTTCACATTTCAGAAAGAAAGAAAGCAGAATGCCCAACTCGCACACAGGCACAGTTTGAAAGCGCAGAATGGGTCTGGAGATCAATAAAAAGCCCAATGTGGCTGAGGAATGGCGGGAAAGAAAGGACAACTTGAGGCCCTGAGAAGGTTCTAAAGTGCTGGGCTTAGAAGACTAAAACTTATCCCACAGGTACGCAGAAGACAACAGAAGGAAACTGTTACCTGAATCAAATCACCTGAAACATGAAATGAATAAGGCTGCTGCAGAATGCACAAGCATGAACTCCTGGTTTTGAATGGTCATTATCAGTCCCACAGGTGACCCATGGGAGGCAGGAAACTAACTAATGGGCAGGAATCAGAATACTCAAAAAAGCTGGTAGGCAAACCACCTCTCCCACATCCCAGGAAGTCTGAACAAATGCTATACACTCACCTGTCCATCAGTCCATTCTGGGTGCTTACTTCCACTTCCACTGATTTTCCTGGAAGCAGAAACAACATCGAGAAAGTAGAAAAACATTTTTTAAAAAGTATTGCCTAATAATTTCTTGCTCAGACATTTGCAGAGGTCCTGTTCCATTTGTTTAGACACTGTAGCAATCTCCAATATTTAAAGTACGATTTATTGAGAAGACAGTTCTGACTAGAGACTCCTTTATCATTTCTCTGGCACTAGTTCCAGGAGGGTGGGGTCACCACTGAATCTAGAAAGCAATCACCAAGCCATTGCTGGGAGGGGTTTGTCTGTTTGGTTTTCATTCTCTTAAACTCTGACCCAAAGATTATTGAGAAGAGGAGTACCTCCTCCAGGTCCCCTCTACCCACATTTACCAGCTTCTCTCCCGGTGTTTCCTTTATATTTTGGCATAGTTGATACCGTATTGTGGCTGAAGCATTTCCCTTCCTACATTTGCTGTAGAAACACTTAGATGAGGATTGCGTTCATACTCCATTGCCGACATGTATACAGTATCTACAGTAACTAGCCAGTTCACTGTTAACATTTAGGCCATCTTCAAACGTTCACTTTTATAAAGCCATCAAATAAACATCTTTGTGCATACAGTTTTATCTACATTTGAATGATTTCCTTAGGAAAGACTCTCAGAAGTGGGGTTATTAGGGAAAGGAATATAGATGAAAAAACACTGTCTAGAGCAGGAGGAATGACTAACAGAAATGACAAAAGAAAAGAAAGCTCAAAATGTAAATGGGTAAAAAAAAAATGTTCTGCTCTCTTCCTGCGTGTCATCATTTGCCATTTGAAAGGAAGCACATGAGCCCAGATTTCAAAGAGACTAACAACTTTATTTTAAAAATACTTCAGAACACTGGAAATTGCAGACTGGGATGAGCTCTTTGAAGACGCTAACGCATGGCTAAAGAAAAAAACAAACCCTTCTTATAGCTACACTTGAAAATGAGACTATAATTAAACTGCACCTACACATACCATTTTCAAAACTACTCCTAAAAGGAAAAGTTCTCAAACCCCGCTGTGAGGAGGGAGAGATCACTGGAGATTTGCTTTATGTCTTGTGGTTTCCTTCTACAAACTCACAGGCTACAGGGACTGCTGTCTGAAATCCTCCTCTACCCCACCAGGTGGGCAACCTGGGTTCCAAGAGTCAGTGCATCTAACAAGTGGTAGAAAGTCACCCACCTCTACAGGGATCGGGAATGAGTCAGACAGGCCTGACCAACCACGTGCCAGACCCTGAGTGCAGTTCTTTCATTTTCACAGCTCCTGAGGCCTCACCACAATCTCACAAGTACAGTGTTATTTCATTTTACAGTACAAACTCAGGAGGTTTAATGTTTCAACTGTCTTTCGTTTAGCCCGATTCATACTCTCATTACTTTACTGCATGCCCTAGTCTAACAAGGGAATGGGTACTCTCTCTAGCTCAGTGGCAAATCTAAGCGTTGCTTCTTTGGGTTCTATCTTGGCTACAAATGGTATATTTTGGGTCCTCAAAGATAATACAGGTTGATCAGCCTCTCTAGCACAGTGGATGCTCTCTATATTCCTCTTCAAGTGGGAGAAATATTCAACCAGTTGGCTCAGATTCCAAGACCCTCAGGAATGGGTAGAGATATCAGCATATTAAAAGAACAGCTACATTGGAATTTTTTCTCACAGATCCTGCACTAGGGGTAATGGTTAAGACTTTGGTCCTAGAGACTCCAAGAATGGGCCATCTGTTTTAGCCCACCCTTCCAAAGATCTTTAGGAGTTACACATGTATTAGGCAAGCAACCAGTAACATAGCATCCCCTTCACACTTGCCATTGTTTTCTAGGGGTATATTAGGAACGCCACTGGATAGGAAACCCTTCTTGGTTTGCGGAGTAAGCACTAAGTAGCCTGGGTCTCCTGACCTTATAACCACAAAAACCTCTCCTTGATTCATAATAAAATCCATGACCAAACAAGGAAGTGCTGTTATACCACCAGTTGTCTGGGTTTCCCCTTCTTCAAATAAGAGACCCTTTAGGGAACTTATAATAACTCAGCAACTGTATTCTACTCATTCCCTTATCACAGAAGAGTTCTTTAAACTCAAATGACAAATTGTTACTGTGGGACTCACAGGGAGATCATTACAACTGATGCATTTGAATTTCTTGGTGGAAACTGCCTTCACACAGGTGACAGTATACCATCTGTCGGGCTATTCCAAAGCTTAAGATGCATGTCATGAAAACACTGCTGCCATTTCTCAGACGAGGCTTGTTGCCATCCCTAAAAGTTGTGTAATGTATGTTGGGGAAGAGGGGAGCTTCACCATTTCATAACATCCAGTTCTCCCATCAATATTTGGAACAAGCAAGAGGACTATTATGCAAGACAGACTTGTAAAGGCCGAAACACCTTGAGTTTCCTCTCCACAATGATCTACCCTGAACAGAGCTATCCTTTAATAAGCCTCTTTCAAGGAGTTCTCCCTAACTCAAAATCTATCAATCGAATAGAATTAGATTCAGATGTCATAGCCTGGCATCTCCTGCCTGATCCTAATGCTTCTTGCCTTCCTTCTCACTAGTAGTTCCTAGTGAATACTTACAGTGTTCCTTCCAGGCACTGAGGACCCAGAGCGGAATGAGTAGCCATCCTATTCTCAATGAGTTCACATCTGACGGGGAAGATGGACTCAAAAGACATTTACACTATATACTATCAAGCTGCAACAATACACATAGAAGACAAACATAATCTACTCTGACCACCAGAGAAAATTTGGAGGAGGTGGCAACTGAGTTATATCTTTAAAACAGGAAAGAACTGCTTTATTAATATAAAAAGCTGAGAGGCTGTAGAGAGAGATTCCACTGTGCGAACCATAACTTGAAACTTGACTTCCTGAAATATTCTTTCCCCAAAACTATTAATCTTCCAGTATTAAAGGTTGAGCTCCACTATCCCTTCTTCCTGAAAGCTTTCCTTTAGAGTTCAGAGGTCCCTCCTCCCTCTTCATCCAAACTCACATGGTATGAGCCAGACACAATCAAAAGACATTTCAGCAAAAGAGGGCCCGAGATCCTGCCTAAGGTCCATATCACATACAACTATCATTACTGTCATCAAATCCTGACTGGCAATGGGATGCAGGAAAAGACAAGGCTCCCATCTTCGAGGATCTAATGCTCTGAAGAATAAAATGTTCCCATAATGATTATCATGCTCTGTCGTTGTTGTCGTTAAGAGCCATCAAGTCCATTCCAACTCAAAGGATTTTCAAGGCTTTAAATCTTCTTGTGAGCAGAAAACCTCATCTTTCTCCTGCAGAGCAGCTGGCAGGCTCAAACCATGGACCCTGCAGTTCACAGTCCAGTGATTATCATATGGAACCACAACCACTGAGCTCTTACAATTTCCTAGCAGGCCACGACATGCTTTAAATAACCTCATTTCATCCTCACAAACAACTCCAACAAGGAATCAGAGCCTGGAAGGGATGAGTGAGCTATAACGCCACTAGGATCTGAACTCCAGTCGGCCCGACTCCAAAGTTTCTTTCCACTCCTGAGCCTGGCCTCCTACTCCAAGCCAGACATAAGTGTCACCAGCAAGAGAAAAGTAGAGACGAGGAATAAATGTGCTTCTAGTTGGGGTGAACAAAGAGGGTTTCCCAGTGGATGAGTTAAAGTTCTGTAAGGGGGGAGAAGGTGAAAGTCTTCCAAAAGGGGGCTAGTATGAACAGTTATCAAAGTGGAAAAACCCAAGGCCTGGCTCACAAAATGAGTATGCCTGGAGCACAGAACATGCCAGGCATGGGAGACCTAAGGTATCATGGTGGTTAAGCACACTGGCTTTGCATGCACACTGTCCAGGCTTGAATCCAGATTCTGCTTCTTTCTGTGTGGCCTTGAGAAAGTGACTTGACCTCTCTGTTCCTCATCTATTATATGGGAATAATAAATAGTACCTCTTCATAGGTTGACAGAAATGTCTGGCAAATACTAAACACTTGAGAGAGATGAAATTTTTTCTCATTATTTTTAATTCACTTATTATGATTATTATTTAGAAGGTGAAAGTACAGAAAAGGTAGGCTATGGAAGGCCTTGTAAAGAAATGAATCATTTTAAGTTTCTCCCTATAGGCAAAGGAGAACCAAGGGAAGGGACTCTGTGACTGTCCTCTAAAGGGTCTAAACCCTGAAAGCTCACAGAGGACGAGAGTATCTCAGAGTCATCTTTGAACCTTCTCCATTCCCTAACACTGTTACTGTTGTTAAGTGCCATTGAGTCAGTTCTGACTCATAGCAACCCTGTAAGGGTTCCTGAGGAGCAGCTGATGGATTTGAACCTCTGGCCTTTTGGTTAGTAGTCCACTGCTTCTCGCACATTTCCACACCAGGGCTCCATGCTGAACAGAACTTATTTAAAATACCTGAAGATAAAACATCGCCCTCTTAATTCATGTTACTGGTCTTGAGAGGCACCATGAGCAGAGATGGTAGAAAAACGGACTGTAACACCAATTCTTGATGTACTGTGGCTGCTAGCTCTCTTTGGGAATATAAAAGCCATAGGGTTTTATCCTATAAAATATAAACAGCTACAAAATCTTGCAGACCCACAGCAGAACTCCTAGCCTATGAAGCTAAGACAGACCCCCAGCTGTGTCCCTTACGAGTGCTAAGAAACCACACTATTATCTACTTCTTGGATTCTACTAATTATATATTATTAAAGAAAAAGAAAAGACATGCATAAAGATTCCAATACAGTGAACTTTGTAACAGTGGCAAACTGGGAACCACTTAAATATCCATCTACTGAAGAATGATTAAATTACAGTATATCTACACACAAAAATGCTCTGGAGTCACTAAGACTTATGACATAGAACTGAACAAAAGGAGAGTTTGTGAACAGTCCATTCCCCCACCACAAACACACACTAATACACACAAAAACTATGAACATATAAAAAAAGGTCTGGAAGGATCAACTCCAGGATTTTTGACTGTGA